GATATGTCTTCAAAGGAGAGAAAGGTATCCTGAAAGTCATGAAGGGGTTGAAGGAAGTCTTAAGAGGCGTGAAGAAATAAAGTTTGTATATCCTTGAGGTTGAGGTTGTAAGTGGTTTGACAAAAGTTGAATTCACAAAACCTGTGTCGAAGACAGAACTATGGCACATGAGATTGGGCCATGTCAGTGAAAGAGGCCTGGTCGAATTGAGGAAGCAGAACCTGTTAGGCGGTGACAAAGTCGAAAAGTTGGAGTTTTGTGAATCTTGTGTATTTGGTAAATCCTGTAGGGCGAAGTTTAACAAAGGAAACCAAAGAACACATGGATGATTACATTTATGCTGATCTTTGGGGGACTGTAAGGAATCCTTCACCCTCGGGTGCAAGGTATTTTCTATCTATCATTGATGACTATTCCATAAAGTTATGGGTATTCATTAAGAAGACGAAGGATGAAACTTTTGAGAATTTCAAAGTTTGAGAACCGACAATAGCCTTGAGTTCTGCAATGAAGCGTTCGATAGTTACTGTGTTGATTCTGGGATTGCAAGGCATTAGACTGTAGCAAATACTCTTCAACAAAATGGCTTAGCTGAGATATTCAATTGAACAATCCTTGAAAGGGTTAGATGCATATTGGTTAGTGCATGTTGGTAAATAGATTTCCCTAGACTACTTTGGGGATGAAGACACCTAAAAAAGTTTGGTCGGGTCAGCCACCAGATCTCGACAAACTAAGAATATTTGTCTGTTTAGCCTATGCTCACATTAGGAAAGACAAGGTCGAAGCTAGAGCTCTGAGATGCATGTTCCTTGGATATCCTGAGGGAGTCAAATGTTATAGGTTGTGGTGCCTAGAACCAGGTTACAGAAGATGTATCACAAGTCGTGATGTCGTTTTCAATGAAGTCGTGATGGCATTCAAGAAAATTGGTGATGCTAGTAGAAGTGCATAAATCTCTGAAGAAGAGCTGGAACAAGTAGAGATGTCTGTTGAGGTGGAACATAGGGATGCTGATGTGCATAACCCAGATGAAGTAGAAGAAGAAGAGCAAGATGCTGACTAGGCTGAGGAAACTGTCGATGACTACCTACTGGCAAGAGATAGGTCGAGAAGACTCATCAAGCCACCTCAGAGACTTGGTTATGCAAATCTTATAGCTTTCACCTTAATCTCTACAAGTGAGGTACTTGAGGAAGAACCTAGAGATTACAAGAAAGCTATGAAGAGTCGAAATAAGACCGAATGAAGAAAAGCCATGGATGACAAGATGAAATATCTTCATGATAATAACACTTGGGAGATGATTGAGAAACCTGCAGGAGTAAGGTTAGTCAGTTGTAAATGGATTTTCAAGGTTAAGGAAAGAATCAAATGAGTGATATCGAAGCGTTTTAAGTAAAGATTGGTTGTTAGGGGGTTCACTCAAAAAGAAGGTATCGACTTTAATGATGTGTTCTCACCTGTTGTAAAGCATATATCCATTAGAATGTTGTTGGCCATGGTGGAAAAGTTCGACTTGGAACTTGAGCAAATGAATGTGAAGACAACATTTCTATATGGTGACCTAGACGAAACGATCCTGATGCATCAACTTGAAGGGTATGTAGAAAAGGATAAGGAAAATTATGTGTGCAAGCTAAATAGGTCTTTGTATGGCCTGAAACAATCTTCTCGACAGTGGAATAAGAGATTTGACAAGTTCACGACACACATTAGTTTCACTAGGAGCCAGTTTGATCACTGTGTGTACTTCAGATTTCGACCTGGAAATTCACTTGTTATTTTGTTGCTTTATGTGGATGATATCCTCATAGCTAGCAACAATGTTGAGGATGTAATGGAGGTAAAGGTTGAACTCAGCAAGGAGTTCGAAATGAAGGATCTAGGAGCTACCACCAGGATTCTTAGGATTGATATCTAGAGAGATAGAAAGTAGTTGAAGTTGTGCTTATCTCAAGAGACATACCTACAAAAGCTTCTCGACAAGTTTGGTATGTCGAATTCAAAGCCTGTTGTGACTACAACAAATCCCTAGTTTAAGCTTAGTACTACTCAAAGTCCGAGTACTGAAGCTGAAAGAATCTATATGAGTAGCATTTTATATGCTAGTGTGGTAGGTTATTTGATGTATGATATGGTCTGTACGAGGCTATACATAGCATATGGTGTGAGCCTTATAAGCAGGTATATGACCAATCCTAGAAAGGCGCACTGGAAAGTTGTAAAGTGGATTCTCAGGTACATAAATGAATCTCTGAAAAGAGTCTTGATTTATGGTGAAGCATGTGGTGGTGATAGCATAGTCGAAATCGAAGGATTTTTCGACTCTGATTATGCAGGTTGTTTGGATTCCAGAAAGTCTATTTCTGGAAATGTGTTCACTATGTTTGGCACAACAATTAGTTGGAAAGCAACGCTTCAGAAGGTTGTTGCCTTATCAACCACTGAAGCAAAATATATTTCCCTCACTGATGCTGTGAAAGAAGCATTGTGGCTTGAAGGTTTTACAAAGGAGCTGAAACTTCAAGGTCGAAGTATCACTGTTAAATGTGATAGTCAAAGTGCAATACGCATTTCGAAGAATTCAGCCTATCATGATCGAACTAAGCACATCGATGTGAAGCTGCACTTTGTCAGAGAGATAATCGAGCGTGGTGAAGTCCAGGTGCTGAAGGTTTCGACTGAAGACAATGATGCTAATATGATCATCGAGACGTTGCCTAATTGCAAGTTTTTCCACTGTATGCAGTTGATAAAGCTGCATGATGAAAGTTAGTTGATTCCCTGTTTGTTGAGTTAGATCAAAGGTGATGATTTGTGAGATTTTCGATTGAACTCAAGCTTTGTCGAGGAATAACTTTCATGTATTTCGATAGGAGACAAGCATGAAGTCAAAGATGGGCCAGATGTTGTGGTCGAATGATACATATTGTAGTCGAAGTTTGTTCTAATATGTATTGTCGAAATGTTTGTCGAATTGGGTCTTTTGTTATGGATCAAATTGTTTAGTTAGCTTGGGTTGCAAGTTATCTAGTTAGTCTACATATAGGCTAGATCACTCAGATTGTTGAGTGATGCCAATTGTGATATTCATTTGTAATCATTTGTAAACCCTTATGAGAAAGTGAATAGTAAACAATTTTTCTTAATCCTTGTTTTTCTTCTTTTTTCTTTTCTTCTTTCTCTTTTGTTCTAACTGTTTTCATTATTCTTTCAAGAACTCCGTTTCTCAATCTTGATTTGTTAAAAGATATCGTTTGTGATCACAAGTCACATTAGACATTTAAAAACCAATTGCAAATAAAGTTTATGCCAATTATAAATGTTGCAATTATATTTTAGAAAATTTTTGGAACTGTCGCAATATGCAATAGTTGTTAGGCGAAGGTGTTTTGAACTGTCGTACAATATAGGCTTGTGACATAAGATTTTTGAAGAGTTGGGAAATCGTCGCGACACATGATTGTTAACAGTTAGAACCGCTACATCGCTCAGAATAAACCATCGCAAAACTTTTTTTTTTCTTTTTATAATGATATATAACTTGGTCTAAATTATTTATATAGATGCGTAATCATTTTTTTTATAGACAAAGTGAAAATAACCATTATAAATTTAGACACACAATCATAAAAGATAGGATTTAAACTCTAGTGTAAGCTCCAATCTAATAACATCTACTTTTCTTTTCTTTTTTTCTTTCAATTTAGCTAAGATTCATAGTCATTTAATTATTGAAGAATAGCTTACATTCTTAAAGATTACTTTAAGATTACCTTACTTAAAGGAAATCCTTTCTACCTAGTACATTTAACACGAGCTATTTTGGTCCTAGAGATTTATTATTTATAAATAACTTACATTTAAGCAATATATTTTTTAAGGTTGAGATGCTTTTAAGAAAATCGGACCAGAATGATATTTGGATCTTTCTTAAATTACAAAAAATATTATCTTTAAGAAGAAAAATACTACCCCTGGTCTTTATGTTTGATACTTATTTTGAATGGTTTATTTAATTTTTTTTCTCATGTATTGATCTTTTATGTTTTAAATTTTATCTACATTGTAAGCTTTTTAAAGTAATAATTCTTTTGCACTTTATATCTTTATGTTACATTGCGTGATTTTGTGAATCTTACTCACACTAGAGATAAACAATTTAATATTTTAGATGAGTGAACTTGAGCTAATCTTTTTAAATAAAAATACATTGTTATACTAAAACTATTAACAAATTGATTGTAAGGTTTTTGGATTTTCAATATTTTAAATTTAAATAATAAAAAATAAAAGAAGAAAGAAAATAGACTAATTGAGTTATCTCGATATAAAAACTACCGCACTTGCTTTTTTTTTTAAGAACTTGTAAAAAGACAAACTATGCAAGTAGTGAAATTTATTTTCAGCTTGATCAACATCTGGGAATGTTTTGAAATTGACAAATATACCCTTTAATTTTAAAATTTTAATCAACAATATAATACACAAAACCTTTTTCTTTACTTCACTATTTTTGTTTAAGTTTACTCTTCAATTTAGCGCGTTTTTAACATAGTTGTTGCGTCAAAAAATACAAGTTTAATTATGATTAATTATCAAACTATAAATGCAGTTTAATACGGTTGTGGTTGCGGTTGCGGACACTATATTGCAACCATGGATTTTGATCCTCTCTTTTTTATATATCTGGTCATCTCTCATGTTTCTAATCTAACAATTCAGAATTTATAATAAATAATTAAATAAAAAAAAGTCATTTAATAGGAGAGAGAAATGGATAAGTAATTTGTCTTTGTTTTTTTATTTACTTATTAATTATAAATTCTTAACTGTTAGATTAAAAACATGAGAGATGGCAGAATATATAAAAAAAGGAGAGGATCCAAATCGTGCAACCATCGGTGGATATCCCTAACTTTTAAGAATATTAACAATATAAATAGCAAACCAATATCATTATTCTCTCATCTCAAATCCAATTACCAAAAACGAAGATGGTTCTCATTATTCTTTCTGTTGTTGCTCTTCTTTCATATACCTCCAATGCTAATTCTTTTACCAATGATTTTTGTGTTGCAGACTTAAGGGACTCTAAAACTCCTTCAGGCTATCCATGCAAGTCAGAAACTATTGTAACAGTGAATGATTTCGTATTCTCAGGCTTGATACCTCAAAGCTTAAAGAGCCCTTTTAATGTTGGATATAAAGCTGCAACTGTCAATAATTTACCAGGTCTCAATGGACTTGGTATCTCTGCAGTAAGAGTAGATTTTGGTATAAATGGAACTGTACCAATGCATTTTCATCCTGACGCAACCGAATTAACAATTATTGTTCAAGGTATTATTACTGTTGGATTTATCACACCTACAAATGTTTACGCGAAAACTCTTAAAGCTGGTGATGTTTTCGTTTTTCCGAAAGGACTATTACATTTTAAATTTAACTCTGGTCCAGGATATGCTCAAGTTTTTTCTGCTTTAAGTAGCGATAATCCCAGGTTGCATGCAGTTGATAGGTTACTATTTGGTAACATGTTAGGAACTCCCACAATTGAAAAGACAACTCTCCTTGAAGCAGCTCAAATTAAGAAACTTAAGGCTCAGTTTGGTGGTAGTGGCTAGGATTGCCAGCTTATGATTCATCCTTTATGTATGTTTTAAATTGAGTTACTTCTGTAAGCAATACAACTTGTGTGTTTTGTTTTTATGTTTCTATGTCAATTTTAATTTCAATAAAATAAGAGGATGATATGTTCGTACGTAATTTCTCATATAATCTCAGTGTATTTTTTTAAGTGCTAAAAATGTGTTATATAGTTTAGATTATTGGTGACAACAATTTAGACATGAATTAAATCAAATAAATATTGAAAGTATAATTGTATATAACATCGATAACTTATCTTTTACATAAATTAAGGGGAAATTTTAAATAGTTAAAAGTTAAGCATGGTTTAGAGCAGGTGTGGTTTTCGTTCTTCCCTCGGTGGATTCTGATTTATTGTTGATGGTATTGAAGTTGTGATCGAGCTTAATCTTTTATGACCTTTGTAAATTGCTTGTTGGTTGTTGGCCTTGTAGATTTTTTGTCATCATTTTGTATTTTTTTTGATGTTGTTTTTTGTTTTACTTTGGTACTTCATGTGCTACCCATTTTCAACTTTCTACTTTATCTGTGTTTTTTTATCCTCTATGATTAATATTTCCTATCAATTTTAATTTGAAAATGGCTTCACTTTGGTGGAGAGATTTGAATGGTAACAAGTCTTTGAATAATCCTAATTGATTATGTGATTTCATTCGTTTCCAGAACTATTTTCAAGTAGTTCTCATTCAAATTCTGTTTGTAATTTTAGTTTTTAGGTGAATAAAATTTGGACTTGGAACCGGTCTCTTTTTCATCTAGCAGGTGTATTGAAAATAAAGTCTTTTGTATTTAGTGAAAATGTGTGAGAATATTAGAGGTTTGAATAGAAACTTGATAAATAGGATAATTATTTATAGAAAAAAGAACTTTGTATTTTGCTTGATACAAAAGTGTAGAATTACATCTCTATTTATAGTACTCTAAGAAAAACTCTAGACACACTAATTCTAGAGAGTTCTCAACTCTAGAAATTCCAAGAACATTCTAAAAAATATTACAACCCTTAAAAATATCTAAACACTACAAACATTACAAGAGTTTTCTAGAAATATTAATTAAAATTACCTAAGTCCAAAATAACTAAGCTCAAAAATCCAAATAATATGTTTAGGCCCAAATCAAGTTTAATATTTCAACATCCCCCCTTAAACTTGATTTGTGACTCCAAGCATACTCCTTAGTTTTATGAAAGTTTCCAACTTGAGTGGCTTGGTGAAAATATCGGCAACTTGATCTCGAGACATCACATACTTCAACTTCACATCCTTCTTCTCGATGCATTCTCTTATAAAGTGGTAACGGGTGTCGATATGCTTACTTCTTTCATGAAATACAGGATTCTTTGTCAAAGAAAGTGCTGATTTATTGTCAACACGTATTTCCATATGATCTTCTTGTGGCATTTTTAACTCTTTCAACAAGTTCCTTAGCCAAATTGCATGGCAAACGCATGATGTAGCGACAACATATTCGGCTTCACAAGTTGAAAGTGTGACGATATGTTGCTTCTTTGACATCCAAGTGAAAGTAGTATCTCCCATAAAGAACACAAAACCAGTAGTGCTCTTTCTATCGTCCAAGTCTCCACTCCAATCGCTATCACTATAGCCAACAATTTCATAATTGTTAGAAGAGTAATAGTGTAAGCCAAAGTTTGTTGTACCTTTGATATATCCTTTTCCGCCTTGAAGTGAGTTATTGTTGGAGCTTCCATGTAACGACTTATGACTACTACAACATAGAGAATATTCGGCCTTGTACTTGTCAAGTAACGTAGACTTCCAACCAAACTTTTGTAAAGAGTTGGATCCACAATCTCTCCATTTTCATGCTTACTCAACTTGCTGCCACATTCCATCGGGGTGTCAACCGGATTGGCATCATCCATCTTGAACTTCTTAAGGACTTCTTTTGCATAGCCTTCTTGGGTGATAAAAATTCCTTTGTCTTCTTGCTTTACTTCAATGCTAAGATAATATGCCATGAGCCCCATATCTGTCATCTCAAATTCATTTGACATGTCTTTCTGGAACTCTTCGAACATGCTTAGATTGTTCCCAATGAAGATCAAGTCATCAACGTATAAGCACACAATCAAAATATCTCCATTTTGCGCTTTAATATAGAGTGCATGCTCATATGGACACTTGATGAATTTCTTGTCTCGAAAGTACTCGTCGATTCGAACATTCCAAGATCTCGGTGCTTGCTTGAGTCCGTACAACGCCTTTTTCAACTTCAAGACTTTTTCTTCTTCCTTTTTTACTTCATATCCCTGTGGTTGCTCGATATAAACTTCTTCTTCGAGAAAACCATTCAAGAAGGCCGACTTCACATCCAGTTGATAGATCTTTCATTCATTTTGGACTGCCAAAGAAATGACCAGTCTAATAGTTTCAAGACGAGCAACGGGGGGAAATACCTCATCATATTCAATTCCTTGTCTTTGACTATAGCCTTTTGCCACCAGTCTTGTTTTATATCTCTCCACGTCTCCTTTTGCATTCTTCTTCGCCTTGTACACCCATCTTACTCTGATTGCTTTGTGTCCTCGTGGAAGTGTAGTAAGCTCTCACGTATCATTCTTCGTGATTGACTTTATTTCTTCATCCATGGCGTCTCTCCACTTTACATTTTCAACAGCTTCTTGATAGCTTAAAGGCTCGCAATCACAAAAAAAACAAAACAAAAGAGGTTAATGTCATTTTGGTTTTCGGTTACCTCATAAAGCTCTTCAATGCTCCTTAATCATGCTGTCCTCTCACTTGAGCTTGTTTCATCCAACCTTGGTGTCGGTGAGGCAGGTGGTATAATATGTTCATCTATCATTGGTTGTTCCATTTCATCTTCTTCTTCTTCTTCAAAATAAGGAAGAAAATCATACCTGTCTTCTTGAACACTTCAATCCCAACAATCTTCTTCTTCGAACTCTACGTCACGATATATGACAATCTTTCCACTATTTGGGTTATAGAGCTTGTACCCTTTGGAGCTTGAGTCGTAACCCACAAATACATACTTCTCACTTTTATCATCGAGCTTTGTTCTCCTTTCATATGGAACGTGGGTATAGGCAATGCTTCCAAACACTTCGAGGTGAGAGATCTTTGGCTTCCTTCCACTCCATGCTTCTTGTGGTGTCTTCTCATGCACACTTCTTATTGGGGAATGGTTTGTCAGGTAAACCACACATGCCACTACTTCGGCCCAAAAATCTTTCGACATCTTCTTACTCTTAAGCATGCTTCGCACCATATTAAGTATGGTTCGTTTTTTTCTCTCTGTTACTCAATTTTGTTGTGGCGATCTTGGCACTGTTAGTGGATGATGGATTCCATGGTCTAGGTGGTTTATACTAGGCAAGTCTCTCACCATCTCCTTCTTTGACAAACATTCTAGACTACCGAAGTTGAGGTGTCCAAATTGTAGATACCATAGCCACGAAGAGTCGATATAGCAAGCCTTGAGACACTTTTCCATATCATTTTAAATGTTCAAGAGGAATATTCTATTCTTTGACATAGGCACCTTAGCAATCAAGTTATACCCACAATCTCTTAAGAAAAGTCTATGTTTTCAAGTGGATGTCATATATTACAATAAACCTATTTTTGTTCTTTCAAGTGGCACTTATTGGCTTAATTCAACCAATAAACCTAAACTTTTGTGCATATGTTATATACTTTAAATTATAATATATATATTACATATCATGTAAATATCATTGAGTTTAATTGTTTTTTTTCTCATTTTTGTAGGTATCCAAGCAATGATATTTTTTCATTGACTTATAAAGAATTGAATAAGCTTTCCAATGCTTCTGACCGCGTGTAAAACGAAGTTATGGTTCAAAAGTTATGGTCAAAACAAGTGTTGGTTTGTTGTCATGTTCGCAAGGCAAACAGGAAGTTTGAAAAAGTGTGGAAAACACTGTTTTGGCAGTAGCGAAAGAGGCATAAGTTCGTTGTGCGAACAGAACATTGCTAGGCGAACACGGAAACCCATTTTTGCTTATTTAAGTCATTTTTCAACATTTTTTAGGGTATGTTGTTAGGGAACTTTTTACCCCAACTTCATCAAACACATTCTTGAGTAGATTTAGCTTAGAAACAACATTGGAGGGTGCATCTTGACGATCTAGAGTCGAATCCACTTCAATCAGATTTGACAAACTTTGAGATTTATGTTCTTCTTCCTTCCTCTCTATGTATTTTTTTATTTTTTGGGGTTTTGTATGTAAGTTTATCTTGATAGTATGTATATTTATGGATCTTTGTATAAAATCTCTTTTACAACTTTTTTTCGATGGTTATCTTGATTTTTTACTTAATGGGTTTGGAATGCTATAGACATATACGGTTCAAACTCGATCTAAGATGAACATCTGTTAGACTCTAAACTCTAGACATAGATTTAGGTCTAATATTCACGTGGGTATCGATTCTTAATGCTCCGTATTGTCGAGTTGCATGAGACATCACCGATGAGATGATACGGTTGTTCTCTCGACTTTGCGTTAGACATAACCTTTGTTGTGAGCGATGCATGATGATATTGGCGTGTGATTTAGGTGGCGTGCATTTGATCCATAGATTTTTTAGTACATGATGGGTAGAACGAAATACAACTCCTGACGAGTTTTCTCATTTCTTAAGAATGTATTTATTTTTTGGTTTATGTTTTTTTTTCTTTTCCATTTTTATCCCAAACCATTTAAACCCAAGCTTAGAAACGTAGAGATTATCAGACGACATTCTTTCCCTCACACTGATCCTTGTGGAGACGACATAAATCCCGAAGGAAATTCTTCCGAAAATGATTTTTTTGCTTGCCGCTTTATTGCATCAACACTCTTGTAATTCACATAGTTTGCTTCCTTTGCATTGAGTTGTAGTAGTTGCTCCATAGTCTCCTTTTGTTTAATTTTTCTCTTTTGTTTTTCTTCGTATGCTTGTAAAGAACCCATAAGTTGCTC